CTCCGAATGGCAGCGACTCCGGGGCCGGGCGCGCGCGGCGCTCCGTGGGGGACGCCGTGTCCCTCGTCGGGTGCGCGGGGCTGGTGTCTGCTGCTTCGTTAAGGACGGGTATGGAGTCGGGCTCGTTAAGGGAGATCGCGGAGGGAACGAACACATGTCGCTTTCCACCAGGCAAAAAGCCTGGGGCATTTGTTGTTCCCTCGCCAATCTGGAGTTCTGCTTTCGTGTCTCCCGCACCAGGAATAGGCATCCTTCCGTTGCGGCGATCCTTAGAGATTTCCTTAGCAGCAGAGCCTGTAAAAAGCAGCCCTGCCCTGTTCATTTTCAGAAATCTCTACCCAGCCCTGCAGGCATATGGGCTGCATAACAGCAAAAGGCATCTCTGCACCCCAGGCCAGGCTCTTGTGAAGTTCTGAAAGCCCATCCAGCCGACAGCCAGAGAAAAACATAACCACACGTAGGGCTCACTGTCTTATTTTTGGAAATAGTCTTCTGGCTCAAGATGCAAGATGGTATTTTGATAACAGTATGAAACAAATGCCTGAGTGAAAGAATTAAGTGGAGGATTTTGACCAAATCATTAGTAACACAATGCTTTCTAATGGAAAATATTGGTCAACCTGGGGGAATCAGCGTCAGCCTGATTTTGTGCAGAAGAACACAGGTGGGTCTAATTCTGCCGAAATCCTGGATGCATGGTAGGAGCAGCCTTACCCCTTTGTTCTGCATTCCTCCTACAGGGTTTTCTTAAACTCCCTTGTTAACTCTCATCTTAAAATTAGGAAAATAGTCTATGGATTGCCAGCAATGCCCTTTCCTTCACCCTGGTCTGACTGTTTGCCTTTGGATCTGACTTCCTTGTACAAATTTGGAGACCACAGAGTAAACAGAAATAGACTGTGAGCACTTCAGAGCTGGAAATATTTCCTCATGTTGCTGTGCACAGCACGGCAAAGCTCTGTTAGCAGTGGGGACCTCTCCGAGCTAGCTCCATGCAGATAGGATGTAGGATGATTCCTCCTGGTGGTCTCATCCATGTTGTTTCTTCGAGAGGGCTAGATTCATGGTGAGCAATGGCTAAAAGTTCATCACTGTGAGGTGGGTTGTACCAATGTATTTGACCTGAGTGTGTGTAGTTCAATCAAGAGCCAAATTTTCACAGAGCTGAATAATAGGAACCTACAGAGGGACCGTGTGTGGTTGGAAAAGGAGCCTATGGAGCACGGGATAAACAGTGCATATGCTTATGGGATTCCCATGACAAGTTTAGTGACATACAAGCCCATCTTAGATTCCTTAACTCTTCCTATTTTTATTTTGGGTCAGAGTTAAGGCTATTTAAATGCTGTTGAGCATGCCACAGCCATTATAGTATGTGATTTGCAGAGTTGCTCACACTTGATGTGCTACTTTTTGGTAATCATGTGCATCAACAGTTCTACACATTTACATATTTTGAGGCTGTGTAGGAGTTATGTGCTGGAGGGAGTAAATCGAGCCACGTATATAAGGTAAATTACAAATGTGGACTTTAAGTGATAGAATCAGGGGCATTCCATACCAAAATACTTCACTTGACTCGAGTGGCCTATTTGAAGACCCCCATTAGCTTGGAGTAATATTGCAGGCTTTTATCCATTCTCTACATCAGCTACAGGAGGGATAAGATCAGACATACTTATCCAAATGATTTACCTGCTCTCACTCAAAAAAAAAGTCCATCCCAAGTGTCTGATATCTACAGAACTGGACCCTCTCACTGCAGGCTGGTATCAAAAGTAGAATTGAGACCTTTGATGCCAAACTGACTAGCTCCTGCCTTTTGATTTGAAAGACTACCTGTGTTAGTCCAGGACTTTAATCATCAAAACTGCAAGCTTCTTACAGTCCATTTGCTGTTTTGCACTGAGAAATGGAACGTATCTGTGCCTGGCTATGTAACTGGGGGATGCTTGCGGGCGCCTTTGAAGCTCAGGGGCTTTGGTCAGCCATCCTGACACAGTTTTGTAGGTGAAATCTTGGTCCTGTTAAAGTCAGTGGCAAAATCTCACTGGCTTTTACAGAGATGGAGTTTGATCTTAAATTGAAGAGTCACATGGGGCTTTTTTTTTTTGCAGATTCCTGTATTTTGCTTACTTATTGGCTTACTTGAAAAACGAAGTCTGCTCCAGAAATAACTGCTATCTGAAACCCTACATTCTAATACATATTTCCTTAGATGATATTTCTGCCTCAGGCTCAAGACTTCTGTGTTGTCATAACCAGATATGGTACTTCCTTGATCAGAGAAAACTTGCTTGCTGGTGTTAGTTGGGTAATTTTCATTAGCATGTTAATGTATCTGTAGCAGGAGTAAAATAATAATCCCGTCTCCTTTCTGTCCTTTTGCAGGCCCTCTACAATTCAATCAAGAATGAGAAGCTTGAATGGGCAGTGTAAGTATAGAATTAGAATAGATAGAATTTAGGAGTTTAAAAATAGTACTTGTGTGGTAATTTGTTTTTACTTTCTATGTCACTGTCTGTGTGGACTCCAAAGCCTGCAGAAGGTGGCCAATGGATGTAATGAGCTTTCTTTCTGCTAATGAATGACCTGGCAATCCTGCCTCATCTGTTTCCCTAGCAAGGGGAGTTGGTAATGATAGGAGCCAAATGTATTTGTAAGGAAAGAGGACATTTCATTTAGTAGGAAACTTCAGCCTGAGCAGAGAGAAATTAAATCCTCTTTTGTTCTGTGGCTGCATAAATAAAACAGACGTTGACTTCTCCCTTCATCGTGCAGTACATTGTGTCAGAACCACTGAATAGAAACACAAGTCTTGGATTGAGTTTCCTGCTGTTGGTTTATTGTCCTGTATTATCTCCTGATTAACTATGGATAACTTGACAACAACCTAATATGAAAGATGATAAATTGGGCATAGTCCGATCTCCCCCCACCACTACCTGCTTTCAACAGGCTGACACTTGTCAAGTACGGAAACGCTGCATACAAGGAAGAGCTTTAGTTTCCTATCATGTTAAATTGACATTTCTATGTGCTTAGGTTTTGTGTGATCAGCCCGGTGCCAGGGCTGGTGCCAGCAGAGAGGAGAAGGGTTTCCCCTAGATTTTACCTATTGCAAATCAGTGGATTTTGGTGCAAGAGATGTCTTACAACTATCTTGGTTGTGCAAGATGCTTGCCGTGTATATACACTCGCCTGAACCCTCATTTCTGGAGAACAGCATTGTGTTTGGGATGCAGACTCCTGTATGTCTCAGGCAATCCACTGCCATAGGTCCTCCTACTCCTGCAGCTCCTGAATTTCCTTTTTAGAAATTCTTTTGTCTCAACTGAATTTCTTACCCAGGCAGGTAACCCTTCTCGTAGGGGCTGCTGGTCCCTATTGGCCCGTACCCTATTTGCATGTGTAAAGAGTGTTAAATAATGTCAGAGCAGTGAGGAAGGCGGGCTGGTAGTGGAGAAATGCCCTCTTCGACTCCATGGAAAAGGGTAGGAGACACATTCTCCCAAAGCGCATCTTGGCCCTGGAATATGTTGTGTGAATCTTACATGTCTCAACACCAGAGCTGTTTGTAAGCTTAGCTGCTTTATTCCTGGCAGAATCTGTTATGTGACCTTCCTGATGTCACAGGCTTCCTCCAGCTCTTGGCAGGAGAGCCTGCTGTGTCTAATCCACTTGGGCAGCCTCCAGGTGGGAACTGGCTCGTTCCTGGCTTTGCTTCTGTGAGTTTCAGTCAAGGTGATTTATGAGATAGCTTACTGCTGTACAGATAATAGCTCCTTTGGCACACACGCAGCCCAATCCATATCCCTTGCTAATGACTTGTTTGGGAAAAAAATGAAAGCAGTCTGGAGGTAAGATGGTGGAAAGAAGAGTCTGCTCTAAATGAGGGAGTATAAGTGTAAAGCCAACTCGTCTCTGCACAATGCTTCAGATGACCATTTTTCCCTTCAGATCTGAAACTCAGGAATGAGAGCTGGAACCTGTGTGAAAATCACTGTCCATGCTGAGAAACGGGCTCATTCCTGACATAACTGAAGTGGTGTTGCTTTTAGGCAAGGAATGTTGGCAGGAGGAGGGGGGACAAATATCTGTCTCTTTCCTCACCTTTGCAGAGCTGCATGGCAGGTGCAGGATAATCATGGCACACTGCTCCTGAGGCTGCTCAGGCTGGAGGGAGAAAGCAAATGACTGTCGTGATCTGCAGAATAAGGTGGATGAGGAAGGGATGTGGTGGGTGCTGCCATCATGGGACTGAGGAAGACACTCTCCCTCCTTTCCAAAGAGTGTCCCTTTGCTTCCTCCGATGGAAGTGGCAGGGGAAGGAATGGGAGGTGAAGCAAGGTTGGAAAGGGCATTGCAGTGTAGCATAAGCTCCCTAGCAATGCTGGTGTCATGATGACGTGCAAGTCCTCCAGCCCAAGTATTGCCGAGAATCTCAAGCTTTTCCTTACGTGCCTTGCAACAGTTGAAGAGCTTCTCCTGAAATGCGTTATTTGGTGGATTAATGTCTGTCAATAAGTCCTTAGGCAGGACTTATGACAGTGATGAATGAGATGGGGAAGTCTGCTATATGATGCTTCTCCCACTTATTGTAAGTGACCTGTCATTCTCCTGAAAGGTCTGCTATCCATTTCTAGTGGAATTACAGTCTGGTCCTAAGTCCACTGAAAAGAGAGGCAACCGTTGATTCCAACTTTAGATCTGCATTCAAAAGAAGTGTCACCTTAATCAGCACATGTGCTTCCAGTATATTTCCAGAGGCGTTTAGTGGGAGGAATATTAATTTATCCTTTATGATCATGGAAATGTGAGTACAGCTCTGGAAGAAAAGAACTGCATTACAGTTCTTCAGCAGTAGTTCTACATCCAAGCTCCACCAGAGGTTTAAGTGAATCATGTACTGTGACTGCTCAAACACATCTGGCCTGGAAGGTGTGGGCAACGGGTAGATGCAGGTTTGGTTGTGCCCCCTCCCCACTTCCTTACAACATTTTTAGAAGTGCAGTTAGTCTCAATAATTGTTGTGTTCTTAAGAACCTTATGGTTCTTAAACTTCCCTGAAGGACTTGGTATTTTTTGAGATTTTTTTTTCATCTGTAATACTGTTGAACGGTTACCTCTTGCTTTTTGACCCCCCATCAGATTAAATGAATTCAAGAGCTTTATGAAAGTGAACTGTGAGAAGGGGTTGATAGAATTGGGTTTCTTTAGTCAGAAAACACTGATTAGGGGCGTCTGAGTGTATTTTTTCAATATGTAAAAAGCTTTTGCAGAGAAGATGGGAATGAAATATTCTCCATGTCCATTTTGTATAGGCTGGTATTTGAAACAATGGAGATTTCAGCCAAACATTTTAGAGAGCTTTGCAACAATAAAGCTTTCAAATCAGAGAATAAGTTTGCCTTGACTAGCAATGGAGTTGATTTCGGCGAAGGTTTTTTTGAAGAAATTTCTAGGGTAAGTGACGGACAAAAAGTGTGAGGAGTAGGCAAAAAAAAAAAAAAACAGCTCTCGGGAGAGTTGTCTTAGCTTTAGAAGTAAAGAAATAGATTAGCTGACCTCTTAAGATTCAGTCCCCTGGTCTATAATACTGTGGCCTGCGTTTTGCAGGGAGTTCCTGTCCTTTTGCCATCATTGTCACTTCAAGGTGAAGAAGAAAGTTGAGGTTGATTTCAAGGGTGCTGGGGTTAAGCACGTTTTGTTTCTGTGATGTCTACATGGAAATACTGTGGAGAATATTGTTATTCTCCATTGTCTGTAATGTCATATCTACTTCCCTTTGGAGGTGATGAGAATACAAAATATCACCGTCTCAAAATAGGCCAAATGGTGATCTAATATTAACATTTGAAGCCCTGAAGTAGGGCTTGCAAGATTGCAGAAAACATGTGACTGCTTTTGAGCCATTAGCCTTGTGAAAGCTTTCTCCAAGCAGCACGGTGTAATTTTTAGGAAAACTGTATGGGTTTTGGCCACTATATTACAAAGCTTCCTTTCTATAGAAGCTTAGATGTGGCCGTACTATCTCCTTTTTTTGTTGTTGTTCTGAACTCCTGTGAAAGATGAACTCCTTCCAGCCAGAAGAAAAAGTAGGTAACTAAGACCTATAGGACGTAAGACCTAAGATGATGGAGAAAAGCGAGTTCATAGAAAAAGGGACCTATCAAACTGGATCTTTTGTGTTTCCTGTGGCAAGTTCTTCTGCTGAGATTCGGGTGATTATAACGAACTCTGTGCTGAAACCACCCTTTTCTAGGTCACATCCAGAAATCTCTCCCCATGATAATTACATCTTCTTATCTCCAGTTCCAGGAACTTAAGTTTGCAACTTAAAAATTAGTTTTACAATGGTCATCTGCTAATTATCTGGCTCTCTATCTTCCTTTCTTCTTTCAAGAAAGACGTCACGGAGAACTTCCTCTGCATTTGTTCCTGATACAAATATCAGCAGTTCCACAGATTTCTGTGGTCATATGTCACAATTTTGATTTATAAACTCAATCTTTTTCCATGTGATGTGAGTTTCTATCTAAACAAATGCAGAAAAGAAGAAAATTTTCAAAAGTGAAAGGATTGACCCTGCCTCTCCAGCTTAGTAAGTCTGAAGTTTTCCAAGACCTCAAGTCAGGTCTTAGAGCAGTACAGAGACATTTTGGTTATGGAATGGCATGGGTGGATTTTTTCTTGAAGAAGAACAAATCTTCCTCAAAGACACAAGGATGACGCTGTCAGCTCTGCCAAATGGAAAGCCTGGGCATGAAGCCTGCCCTGAAAAGAACTTGAGCGTTGGCTGTGTGGCACTGACTCCATGGCACTGAGTATGCCTGCACAGATACAGCCACTACCTGTCACCCCAGCGTCACTGGTGCCCATCGCACCAGGAACATTCCTGGCCATGGATAATCTGTCAGACCCATCTGAGGAAGTGGGAGTAGTTTCAAGTCCCACAGCCAAGGGTTTCAGAAAAGATCAGTATCAGTCTTCAGGTGTATGTTTTCAGAGGCCAGCTGAGTTTTCTGTGGCTCTTCTTTCTTGCAGCCATGTTCTGAAGAAGGTGAGGAGGAAGTGCGGATTGATTAATCTCTGAGAATGATTAAAGGAAAGCTTGTCCAGTTTTGGGCTGCTCTTCTAAAGGCTTGTGTTCTGGACAGTCCTGCAAGAGCACCTCTCGTTTAACTAATCCTTCCTCGCTTTTCTTGCTAGCTAGTCCATGTAATGATCTTTGCTTTGACCAATCCTGACTAGACTCCCCAGGAGAGTCCTTTACTGGCCAGTCCTACTCAACCAACTGTGGAGGGTAGACAAGTAAAGACAATTACCTGAGCTGTTCTGCTGCTTTGAACCCAGTGGCAGTCCTCCTGCTTTCTTCTTATTCCTGACCTCTGAAGCAAAATGGAGCACCAGAAGAAGTGGGTGCTGGAGCCCGTGGCTCTGTTTGCACTACACGTCCAGATCAAGGTGGTAATGACCCCTGGGGCACACCGCTAGCTACAGGCCTCCAGCTAGGCTTGGCACGGCTGGTCACAGCACTTCGAAACACGCTCAGCCAGTTTTCCCTCCACCTTGCTGTCCGCTCGTCTAAGCCACACTTACGGAGCTTGGCTATGAGGATGTGGGAGAAACATTGTCAAATGCCTTGCGGAAGTCAAGGGAGACGACATCCTCTGCTCTCTCCTCATCTGTGCAGCCAGTGATTCCACCACAGAAGGCTCTCAGGTTGGTTAAGTAGGATATTGCCTTGGGGATCCATGCTGGCTACTCCTGGTCTCCTTCTTGTCGTCCACATGTTCAGAGACAACATCCAGGATGACCTTTCCAGGGGCGGAGTTGAGGCTGACTGGCCTGTAATTCCCCATGTCCTCCTCCTTGCTCTTTGTGAAGACTGGCGTGACATTGGGTTTCTTCCCAGGCACCTTCCCTCTTCTCCATGGCTTTCAGAGATGATGGAGAGTGTCTTAGCAGTAACATCTGCCAGCTCTCGCAGCACTCTCGGATGCATCCCGTCAGGGCCCATGGATCTGTGGGAATCAGCTGTACCTAAGTGATCTCTCACCTGTCTTCCTCAACCAAGGGCAAGTGAAAATATTTGGTATATTCCTCCAGGGAACTGGTCAGTACAGGATAATGCACTCCATGGCTCCCAAGGAGACAGCTCATTCTGAAAGATGCCAAGCCTTTTGCTTCACTAGGTCTCTGCCGACAAGGAGAAACCTGCTGTGGCCTTGGCCGAGATCCCAGAATTCACAGGGCTCTTCTAAATTACACATCAGCCTGAGTACTTGTGCCCTGTGAGAGACTTCAGTCTGGATTAAGCACCGTAAGTTTCAAACAGAGTTACGGAGAGGGAGTTTGCTCCTGGAATGGGCACTTATTTAAACATGCGTCACAGAGTGATTCACATTTCACCTGTGCTTGCCACTGGCAAATGGGAGAAATAGACACAGGAAAGGAGGGGGGCAGTCAAAATTTGTCGGGAATTCCAGTACTTTTTAGTTGGTGGAGGACTTCAACCAATGTATGCACGAGGTAATCTTCATTGCTTTGAGCAGCAAAAAAAATATTGCAGATAATGCCCATTCGGGAGCGGGAAAACACATGTCGATAGGCTGAAGGATGCAAAGACCAGTCTTGTCTGTAGGAATCAGGCTTCAGATGAAGGATTTGTTCTTTTTCATCATGAGACCTTGCCAGATATCCCCATGATGGTGTGGTACCCCGCCAGGCCAAAAGGAGCTATCGCCTCATCTCTACAACCAAATAAAATGTCTGTTCCTTTCCCTTAGCTCTGGGGCTGAATGCCCGTTTTTAGCATTCGGTATCCGTACTCCTGAAAAGTCTTGCTCTCTGGGAGAGGGACGATGCCTCTAAACTGGATTTGGTTTCGTTCTCTTTCCGGTCACAGCAGTCTGTTACCATCACACCAGCTCCATGCCCTGGAGGACCTTTTCAGCAAGCATGGAGATACTCCAGACCGCCTCCCTGCCTCGCAGTTCTGTGGAGACGTTGCTTCGGGTGGGCATTCCCGTAAGGGGGCATCTTGCCCATCCTCCCAGATTCACACTCCTCCGTTACCTTAGGAAGGGACTCTTTGGATCTCAAAGGAGATGAGACAGCTGTGCACGCAGCAACGACCATGGCTTCGAGGTGCACCAGATACCCTCTGACTACAGCCGTCCTGCTCTTGTGACGGACACCCTTCCCAAGGGTGCTTATTTTTCCGGCTACTTCTTGCTTTTTGCCGTTGGCTGTGGCAAGCAGGAAGGTGTTCATTAGACAGGTGGTGCTTGTGACTTGCTGAAAGGGCTTGTGTTGTTGTCCCCGAGCGCCGCGCTGAATACGTCGCACTAATAAGTAATATTTTGGGCAACATATTGTTTCTAAAATACAGATAACGTAATTCACCAGCTGTAGTTTTTATTTCTAAATTACTACTGTTATGCCAGTCTGTGGAGGAAAATAAAGAAAAGGAGGTAGAGTCTGTGTTTCTTATACTAAGTTTAGGGGAAGGCCATAGTGATCTGTAGTAATCTCATTCTTTTCATCCACATTAGAACTCATAAAGAAATTGGAGATTTTTCAGAAAAGCCCAGCAGGGAAATAGTCCCTATTGTGGTACCTATTTAACTGGATGTAAAAATATTTGAAACTGCAGGACACAGTGCTTGGTCAAGCCTGTGTTTCAGGAATGTAAAAGACAAACTTGGTCTTTTTTGAAAATTCAGCTCCCATGACCTGTGCTGGTGAGGCAGGTGAACAGAAGCGTTGCCATAACCTGTCACGATTCCTTTCTAAATAGGATCAACTTTGAAACAACTTCAAACATGCTGTAGCAAGTAGTGTGCTCAAATGTAATGTAAATGTAAATTACTAAAATGTAACCTTTCTGAACAGTTCCTCATTTGTTTTACTTTGCTTGTTTTTATTACTTCTTTAGGGATGAAGAAGAGAAGAAGAAATCTCACTCAGATGGTACTGACGAAAAGGATAACGGGAGCCAGACAAAAGCTGTTGGTCGCATCGGCAACTCTAATAATCCTTTCTTAGACATCCCTCATGACCCCAACGCTGCTGTGTATAAAACAGGATTCCTGGCTCGGAAAATCCATGCAGATATGGATGGAAAGAAAAGTGAGTGTCTTTCACTCTGAAAACTCTTTTTTTTGTCATCTGTGCACAGTGCCCCACATGATGAGGCTGTGTGCTTCTCAAGGCAGGTAGTACTGTTTCGTTAGGGGAGATTGCAGCAATTACAAACAATACAGCAATGGGATTATCACACTGTCTCTGTCATGGTTTAGTGAGTGCTCAGTCCCACTTGCAGCAGCTGAAATGCATTTTTATAGTGAGTAACTTGCTGTAGAAAAGTAATGTGAATCTTCTCTGTGAAAAGAAAATGAAGTTCATTGTTTACAGAAGTGAAAACATTTTCAAGTGAATTACAGTAGCTGTTCTGTAGTAGTCGGGTAATTTGTCTTTTCCTTATGTGACACTAGATCAAAACCAAAACTGTTTCTAACCTCCCCTCCCCTCTGCTTCTTGTCTTCAAAGAAAGGGTGTTCCTTAGCTTGGCTTGGAAAATCCTGTAACTATTTCCTATTGGAGTCCATGTACTAGGGAATTTCAGCAGCTTTTCGTAACAGTCAGAATTACATGGTAGTTCCTCCCTGCCCTTTCTTTGTAATAAATCTGCCTCATTTGCTTTAATTATCCTCTTTCCTTCTTGTCCTGCTTCCGTTGTGGTACCCTAGTTACAAAGGCCTTGCCCCTGTGTGTTTTGTTGTTTGGGTATTTTCATTTGATTGTTTTCTGTTATGTTCTTAGGAACAGCAGAGGCTACTTGGAGCATCTGTTTTTTTCCCCTGATCATTGTTAATCATTCATAATCAGTAATCATTCATATTGCAGTCTCTGGGCTGAATCCAAAAGGCAAAATCTGACTTTGTAATGGATTTTGAGTAAATGCAACTCCCTTCAGCTGGACTAAGCTTTCCAGAGTTTGCATGTTCTGCGAGTATATTCAAGTATATTTTAGAAGGCTGATGTTTCAAGCTGGAGTCTGAAACAACGTTCTTTCTGATGAATGGATGCTCTGAATAGTTTCTTCTTTATTAAACTTTGTTTATTTAACCCTAGTAAGTAAAGGTATATGGTTGCCTTTGTTAACTTGTTTCTTCAATCACAAATGAGCACAGTCACTCCTTAAGTAGCACCCCTGGCCCTTCTGGGATAATCATTTTATGTGCAAGGTAACTAGGGCTCTGCTTTCAGAAGCTCCAGTGTATGTTAGAGGCCTGATCTCATTGTCATGCTGCACATCAAAAATCTACATTCTGACTTTCAAGTTCCAAATAAAATGAAGCTTATTTTAAAAGACAGTGCTTTTCATATTTCACTTTCTAATGGTGTTGCTGCAGGGTAGAGTTTAGCTCCTGTAGGACTGCAAATGAGGAGATATGATTGCGCCGTGTAACTGCATTTTCCAAAAACGGCTACTAGCCAGCCTGGAGGAGAAGAGCATAAGGGACAATGGCTGGGGGTTGGACCAGACAAATACAAATTAGCAGTGAGGCCCACGGTGTAGGGAGATAGTGATTAACCTTTGGAGCTAGGCACTAACCGGTTCCTCTTCACCCTCGCCGGGTGTCATGCATGAGGATGGGATGCCTTTGTGAGCGAGATGCTTTGGCCATGCTGAATCCACTTCTAGCTGGAGCCTTCAACCTGGGATCCCTATTATTTTTTGTTCCTTCTCACTGGTTGTGAGCTGGAGGTGTTTGCTCCCTTACGCCCCTCCAGCACCACCTCTGAGCTACCCTTCATTTCCCCCTGGGGCTTCGTTTTCCCCCCCGCCTTTTTCTCCCCTCTCCAGTGTCATCGTGGGCCGTGGGGAGAGGGGCTGTATGGCTGCAGGGGGAATGGGCACTTCTGTGCAGCCTTTCGCCCTGGGCAAAGCGTGCTGCGTCTGCACAGGGTTTTGTCCTGCTCACATCTCTGAGATCAGAGCCTGCTCCTGCTGCAGGAGCAACGAGCGTTCCCTGCTCCCTGCGTTGCTCCCGCTCCCTTCGGATCTGCTGCAGGGCTGTCACCCGGCTGCCTTCATGCTCTCCCTCGCAGCGGGTGTGTGCTGAGTGGCATCGTCCTTTGAGAAGGAGGAGAGTACAAAGGAGGTTTAACTTAGGACTAATGTAGCTCTCCTGTTGCCTAGACAAAGTGTAAAAATGGATCTGTGTTAAATGGGTTTTCATTTGTTTTCTTTGCAGCTCCCAGGGGGAAGCGAGGCTGGAAAACCTTTTATGCTGTGCTGAAGGGAACAGTCTTGTACTTGCAGAAGGTAAGAGAAATCACTCTCTTTTGGAAACTAATTAAAGAGGGATAAAGCAGCAGGTATCCTCTACTCTCACGGCTCACCTCCAGGTTTCTTTCCCTCCAATACACAGCATAGCTGTCGTCACTGCTGTTTACACACTCCTTCAGGCATGAAATCTGGCAGCGATTCCCTCCCCATTTCATGCTGTCAAGTTCAATCCTGCTGTCCCCATCTCATGTGCAGCCCATGTATTCCAGTTGCCGCTCATGACTCATAAAATTGCCCACTTCACCAGCGAAGACAGCATCATCTCTTTGTGTCTTGCACACATTTCTTTGGGCTGCTTTTAACACGGCAGCTCATCAGCATGACTGCCCCTGCTGTGAAGCCATCCTCCTCCCTCCTCTTTTCACGAGGTTCAGTGACTGCAAGAGCAGCTACAAAGGAGTTTAACAGCGACTTGGTCCTGCTAGGAATCTGCAGCTTCTGCCCCAAAGACGTTTGGAAAATACTTTACTCCCAAAGCAAGATGAAGCACTGTCATGCCTAAAAAATTTTACTCCCCGTCATCAGCAAGTCTAGGAGAACATCAATTGTAATGTTTTAGTCTTTCCATGCAAGTTTATATCTGTTATTTTAACTATTCTCTTGCAAAATGAAATGCAGTATGTGAGCAAGAACTGACAAATCAAATAAATGGTAGTAACAAAGTAGATTGAAAAGTATTTTTGCTTCCCCGCGGCCCCACAGCAAGCGTAAGTAAATTATTCATGGGACTACCCTGTTTTGCAGAACTCTGCACCACTGAAAACCTTTTTACGGGGTGCATTTTGGAACTATCAGGCAAAAAAAACCATCGTAGTGTTGTTTCCTCATCCTCTGCGCTGTTCTTAGTGTGTTACAAGGTGGAAGCTTTGGGGGCATCCCTGTTAGAGAGCGCCAAAATACTAGAATAGGCAAAAGAACCTGCAAGGAGGAGGGGAAATTTGGGTCAAAAGGTGAATGTGGCATTGGAAAGACTAGAGTCAAGTCTGAACGCCCCCCAGCTGAGTCTTCCTTCTGGTCTTCTCGTGGGCAGCAGTTACCAGTTCTACCAAGGTGGCCTTCATGGGAGGTTTGTATGTGTTCTTTACTCAGTAAATTGGAGTCAGACAGGTGTTTCCCTGAGATGAATTAAAAAGGTTCCTTGTCCATAATGCATTAATTAATTTCTTAATGGATACCTTAGGAGTAGTTAATAAGCTTTCAAGAAGAAATGGAGAAGCTGTCTATTTTAGAGTCTTAATTAAACACTGTTGTGATTATCACAGAAATATTATATATAAACACTTTCTGTTTGACAAAATGTACAGATGCTGATATAGCTCAGAAACTTCCTACAGAAGGTTGTTCTTCCCACTCTCCCCCTTCATCAGCAAGCGAGTAATTGCACATCTGACTGCATCTTTGCATAACAAAATGCATTGCCGGATTTCTGGTTCTTGTTGGTTATTTGTGTGCTTTGGAGTTGTCACAGCACTTGAATTCCATGCTTGCTCTGCGAACACTGTACTATCCTACCTGATCCTGGAACCACTTGTGCTCAAGGGGTACAAAAGAGGGCTATTAGTTTTGCTGTTGGAAAAAGTAGATGGAGGGTCCTGGTGGAAAGGGGCTTTTTCTCACATTGAGGGGTCTCTGGTCCCTGCACGGCCCCCGTGCCTCAAACTGTTGCAGTGAAACACTCCTGGATCTGCCTCTAGCTCCAGAAGGTCCATCAAGGCTTCCTTTCAACCCTGACATAAGCTTTCTTCTGTTATGGAAATGGTATTGCAGCAGCTGAGGTTGCCAGAATTTTAAAATGCATGGCTAGACCAAGCCTAGTTATGATATAAGATGCTGAAATGTGCTTTCTTCCTGCAGTATAGAGGGACATGGAAAATCATGCTAATTTCAGAACATGCAGGAGCGTTTTGGAACAGCTTGACTTCTTTGCAGAAATGCAAAGTTCTGGCCTTGGTTGAGGATAAGGGATTTCCTTGCCCCCGTTTTCCTTCTTTCCTGTTTTGGCAGTGCTTAGGGCAGGGAGCAAATGCGTACACATCTATTTATCTGCTTTCTCTCACTATATATATGTGTGTGGAGGAAGCAGCTGTAACGAAGGCCTTGTCTACTAAGTGTTATTTAAGCAGAGAAGAGGTAAATCTCAGCATGTGCTTAGGAATCGCAGAATCACATAACAGTTGAGGTTGGGAGGCGCCCTGGAGATCATCTAGTCCAACTCCCATGCTCAAGCACATTACCTAGGACCATGCCTTGGAATATCTCCAAGGATAATCTCCACATGAGGAAGAACTTCTTTCCTGTGAGGGTGACAGAGCCCTGGCACAGGCTGCCCAGAGAGGCTGTGGAGTCTCCTTCTCTGGAGATCTTCCAAACCCACCTGGACACCACCCTGTGCCACGTGCTCTGGGTGTCCCTGCTGGAGCAGAGTGTTGGACTAGATGATCTCCAGAGATCCCTTCCAACCTCAACCATTCTGTCATTCTGTAATTTTAAGTCTGTTTTGCTCTTTTGTATTAGAAACAAGAACAGGGCTATTTCATTACAATTGTCCTAAAACAGAGTCTTCTATTTTGCTGTCCCCACCTTCCTTTTGGCCTTATAAGAAAAGGATCGATGTGTGCTGCGATCATGGACAGAAACTAGAAATGCATGAAACCTAGTCCTGTTCCTTATGGGAGATTTAGAAGCTTGGACAAACTATTTAGCTTCTTTCCGACCTATGAAATTAGTATAATATGCAGATCGCTCTGCGCTGCTCCCTGGGGCTGCTCCTCACCACGTGCAGCCCCTTCTGGCTGCCCTTGCCGAATCCTGGGAGGTTTTCTGCTGCCCAACTCACTGCTGAGGTCGCTCTGAATGAAGAAGTTGAGCAGTGCTGGATCCAGTGTTGGCCCCGAGGGGACACCACTGTCCAGAGGGCTCCGGGTACACCTTGCACTGCTGAGTACAACTCTAAGCCAGCGTTCAGTCCTGCTCACTCTCTGCCCGTGCTTTATCGTCTTGGCTTGGGGGATGTTCTGGTGGTGTCGAAAGCCCTACTGAGGCCAAGCTAGACAACATCCACTGCTCTCCTCTCACCTACTTGCCAGCCATCCCCCACGTGGTGCACAAACCTCTGCATCATTGATCTCTGTTTATCTGTACCCCAGCTGTTCCCTCAAGACGCTGTTGTAATATAAATAGTTTGTCACAGCTGTGAATTCCCCAGTGGGTAGCGTGGTCTCAATTTTGATCTCATTTAGTTTGCTTTCCAGTCTCATCCTGTCTGTTTTACTGTCAAAGTCCATACATGAGAGTGGTTCCTGTTCCTGAATGATGGTGACTTGAGATTTGCTGGGGAGTTCTTTTAGGCAGTGCTGTTTCTGTGCCCACATTTCTTTTTTCTTCTGTTGGAACTATTCCAGAGCTAATTGCTGTGCTGCATTATTTTTTATTTTATTTTTAAATGAGTGATTTGGGAGAGATGGTTTCTGAATCAGTAAGCACAGAAACCGCCAGAGGGGCTCAGTGGAAACATTCACAATTAGCCAGCTAAACATGTCTGCACAGTGTTATGTCAAATGAGAGATTTCGACGTTTGGGATGTTGGACCTGTCTCTGGACATCTTCAGGCCAAGGGTAATTTCCTGTCCTCTGTGTTTATAACAAGGGGAAATCATAACGTACGAGCTTGACAGAATGTCTGTTCACCGGATTGGAGTGGGATGTGAAGTGTGTTTGCAGGAAGGAGGACATGGGCTGGACCTCACCTTGCTGGAAGTTGTTTCTGGGCAAACGGTGCAGGGCACAGACCTTCATGCTGCATTGCTGCCTTCCTGCGAGGTCTGGAACATTGTTGCTCTTTGATATGGCTTTTTATAATCCTGTGTGCTTTCAGGTATTTTTTTATATAACTTTTCTCATTTTTTTTCCTCTATTTAACAACAACAACAATAAAAAAGAAAGAGGATAGAATGATGTGACCAGGGACAAGTCCTTCCGAAAGAAAGGATTTTGTAACCATCACACGTAGTTACCCACGGTGCATTGGCTGTCGAACAGCCAAATGCCATTTTTTGGTTTGTCGGAAATGGATTTAGAAATATGCTGACTCTGAAGATGAAAAAGTCGTTTTGGGAGAGTTTTATAGAAAAATTCAGTGTATAACTGCATTGTATACAGCACTCAGATCAGCCTTCATTTGACATGGAGGTTGCAGTTCCTTCCTGGCCTCTCATATATTTCTGCTGCCAGTGTCTTGGTCTAAACTGAGTGAGCTGCCTGTCATTCCAGCTCCTCCTCCACGTGGGTACCAGCACATCACAGCATGTGCTGTTCTTGGCTGCATACGAGATATGGATGTTATTGCACCCTTACCGTTCCCTGACAGTTTAAAAGAGTTGAAGGCCTTAGAGAGGGGTTTTGGCAGCATGCTAACATCCTCTCCA